ATGACTTTATTTTTCTTATAAATCAATCTCTTGCCCGAGTAGATATTGAAAAATAAATGCCTATGGCCGTTCACTAAACCCAGATTGCGGAAAATATCATTTTATCACTGAGTCATTCACTGACACAGCACCACACTGCTAAATGAACCCTTCCTGTCTTATTTTATTTTTTTTAAACATTTTATTTATTTATTTGAGAGAGAGAATGAGATAGAGAGAGAGAGCATGAGAGGGGTGAGGGTCAGAGGGAGAAGCAGACTCCCTGCCGAGCAGGGAGCCGATGCGGGACTCGATCCTGGGACTCCAGATTCATGACCCAAGCCGAAGACAGTCGCTCAACCAACTGAGCCACCCAGGAGCCCCTTTCCTGTCCTGTTTTAACACACAGGGTTCTATTTATTGTCCACCTTGTCAGTGGTGGGGCCTGTACATAGGACATTTCTGTGGTCTGCTGAATACTGGTTCCCTCTGGGCCGAATCCCTGGAACTTACAAACGCTACTTCGATGGCAAAGGAGATTTTGCACGTTTTATTTAATTAAGGATCGAGATGGGGAGGTGATGCTGGATTATGTGGGTGTGTCCAATGAAGTCAAAAGAGTCCTTTGAGAGAAAAGATGATGTGAAGATTGAACCAGAGAGAAATTTGAAGATGCTATGCTGCTGGTTTTGAAGACAGAACAAGAATCCATGGGCCAGAGAAGGCAGCAAATTCTGACAGGCTCCAGAAGCTGAAAGAGGCAAGGAATGGATTCTTTGCTAGAACCACCGGAGGGAAACAGGCCTGCTGAATCTCTGACTTTTGCCCAATGAAACTGATTGTGGACATCCGGCCTTCAGAACTGTAAGAGAACAAACTGGTGTTGTTTGAAACCACTACATTTTGTGATAATTTGTTACCGCAGCAGGACACTGATACACTTTCTAACTTGTACGGAAGGATGGTATTATTACTACACACACAGAATGAAGAAAATGAGATTTGAAGAGAGGGAAAAAAATAAACAAATATACAACACTAGCAAATGCCAGAAAAGTGTGGCCTCTGGCCACGACTTGAAGCCCACAGACCATTTTTTCTCTATTATACTGGCTCCTATGAACCATCAGCGTGCATCTCACGATGTCTTATCCCCAAAGTTTTGTCCTCTGTTTGAAAAGACGCGAATCAGAGTGTTTCATGTAACATGAATTTCAAAGGGCAAGTATTTGTTCTAAACAAAGAGGTGACTGAATCAAATATTTGCAGGCCTTAGTCTGTTTCCATAAGGAGGCTTTTGTATTCCAAATTAAACTCCTTTGCCTCTGTAGGTAGAGGAAATATAGTTATAGAGCAGCTATCAAGAATGGATTCTGCATGAAAACCTCCTGGAGAGGACCTGTAAACCCAAGAGTGGTCAGCGTTAATGAAATCGTTGCTTGGTTGTGAAGGAGTCCAGCCTCTGCCTGCTTCTTTGTAGTGCATGTGGGATATGCTCATCCAGGCTTCATAAGAGCTCCCCTTTCGCTAGCGAAATTGAAATCCAAAAGGAATTTTCCAGAAACACCTCATGTGGGGTTGTACAGTTGACCCCTTGAACAACATGGGTATGAACTGCACGGGGCCCAGTTACACACGGATTTTTTTCAATAAATGCATTGGAAAAATCTTTGGAGATTAGCGACAATCTGAAAAAACCAGCAGATGAACCACATAGCCTGGCAATATAGAGAGAGAAAAAGAAAAAGGTCTGTCACAAATGCTTAAAATATATGCAGATACTTGTCTGTTTTATCATTTACCACCATAAGATATATGGAAATCTATTATAAAAAGTTAAAATGTAGCAAAACGTACACACACGCTTACAGACCATACACGGTGCCATTTACAGCCAGGAGAAATGTAAACAAACGTAAAAGCACGGTATTAAATCATAAGTGCATAAAATTAACTATAGTACATGGTGAACCACTGTAGTAATTTCATCACCACCTCCTGTTACTATGGCGGTGAGCTCAAGTGTTGCCGGTATCTGCTTAAAACAGTGTGATGCTAATCATCTCTGTGTGAGCAGTTTGTCTCTGCAGGAAATTGCTTATTGCGGTAAAAAGTGATCTCTCGTGGGTCTCCCGTATTTTTCATCGTGTTTAGTAAAATACCGTAAACTTTGACGAACACCAGGGGATCCTTACAAAGTGCCACTAAGGATGCTGCAGGTGCTCCCAAGAAGCAGAGCAAAGTCATAACAGGACAAGAAAAGGTTGAATTGCTTGGTACGTACCACAGATGGGGGTCTGCAGCTGCAGGTGCCTCACCAGTGCAAGATAAATGAATCCGGCATGAAGGACCGTTGCAAAAAAAGAAAAGGAAATGCATGACGCCATCACAGCAGCTCTGCCAGCACGCACGAAAACCTTGCACTTTTGGCAAAATACCTTTCTATCTTGTATTGAAAATGCAGCTTCTTTGTGGGTGCGGGACTGCTATAAGAAAAGCGTATCTATAGACTCTAATATGATTGGAGAAAAAGTGAAGACATTATATGACCACTTAAAGCAAAGGGAAGGTGAAGGATCTAAAGCTAGAGAATTTAATACCAGCAAAGGATGGTTTGATAAATTTAGAAAGTGGTCTGACCTAAAACATGTCAGGATAACAGGAGAAGTAGCTTCTGTCAACCAAGAGACAGTTCCCAGATGACATTAAGAAAATCACTGGGGAGGGGGGTGGAGACGCCCGGGTGGCTCAGTCAGTTAAGTGTCCGACTCTTGATTTTGGCTCAGGTTATGATCTCAGGGTTGTGGGATTGAGCCCTGCGATGGGCTCTGTGCTGGGCATGGAGCCTACTTAAGATTCTCTCTCTCTCTCTCTCCCCCTCCCTCTGCTCCTCCCCGCCCCCCACTCACATGCCTGCACGCTCTCTCTCTCTCTCCCTTGAAGAAAAGAAGGAAGGAAGGAAGGAAGGAAGGAAGGAAGGAAGGAAGGAAGGAAGGAAGGAAGGAAAGGAAGGAA